CTACATAACCTGATCCAATTAAGTAGGATCTAATTAAACAAGTTCATATAGCAGCTTTAAGGCATGCTAATGATTCATCAATGCAATGTTAGAGAGAGTTCATCACTTTTGGAAATCAAAGGCTATTACATTGGCTTCTGTATTGTCAAAGAAGTCCTTTCGATCCAAGGAATACACCCTTGGTGACTACTAAGACATTAAAGTATAATTTATCAGCTTATCAAAGAATTTGGTTTTCTGTTTTCTGGAATGGGCTTAGTTTTATGGTCCGTCGGGTATTGTTTCGGGTTTAGTTAAATTGTGAAGGTTTTAAATGGAGCTAATTTAACCTTAATATATCTCAAAGTTTATTGATTTCAAGAATCCCAATCCATTTGGACAAGAAAGTTAACAAAATCAATGGGAGCCTATTTATATTTCTCAGTGTTGCTAGAATACGTAGAGTTGATTTCACATAAAACGTTAAGCTATTAAGAGTTCTACAAGAACTAATTTGCTAATTTGAGTTTTCATTCCCTCCTATTACTACTCATCTCTTCCAACAGTAATTAACTAAGTTTTTACTGAACAAAGAACAACTTTACAGAACTGGAAGTTTATGGGGCTATGTTACAGGAACCCATATGCTTTTCACCCATATATAATTGACATAGTTATAAGGCTCCAAACGAATGCATAAAACAATCAACATACCTTCCACAACAATGAAAATGGCATGGCTTAAATAGATAAGTACAGAACACATACAAGGTAATTAACCTAGAATCTGATAGATTCATTTTTCATTAAAAGAACTTTGACAGGATCAGTATATATGCATCTAATATGACAATCAGAATATATCAAAAGCAAAGCTACAAGACAAACATAAGGATCCAAGTATGACAAAAGAAAAGTATTACTTGTACTCCTCTAACTTGAATCTGCTGTATAAGTTCTGTAAAAACACCTGGAGGATATGGCAGAAAACAAAATTGTTAAGCTTAAATCACAAAACATATCATTAAGAAAGCATGGCAGTCTAAAGTAAGAAATAAGAGTACTAAGACAATTAATTATTTGGTGCAGCAAGATTTTAACATTTTCAATCTTAACAGATATTCATTACAAGTCATATGCCAAAACGATAGTAGAACACAAGTTAATGCTGAAAGCGTCATACAAGTAGTGAAAATAATTTTTTTTTAAATAAAAAACTATCTCACAATCCAGTCTGAACTAGCCTTTGTTAAGCCTCTGTAAAGGTTATATGGCCACCAAAGGATTGATGATAGCCCTTGGAAAAATGTAAGTTTAATCTCTAATCACTGGCAACCAGTAAGGAGCATCTTTAAAAATCAGGAAGTGGCTAATAGCACTGTCATGAACTAAACATCAGTATTCTTTTTTTATTATTATTTTAAATTCCTCCAGGTATAACATGCATGTACTATATTGTACTTGGAAGATCATAAGCATCTAAAGAATAGAATACGACAGTCCAATCATCTAACACCATGAGAAAAAAAACCAGATACCAATGGAGCTTATGCTTGTTCTCTACAGGGATGATGCATAGGAGCTAATACCTCCAAGCATTATCCACAAAATTACCGAAAGAAGAGGTAAAAAAGTTGTATGCCTCTGAGGAACATTAGATAAGGCATTAATAGCAATCCTATAAAACAATCCTAACAAAATATTCACCCAAATCACCCTGCAATAGTCATTATACGATTATTTCTTCTATAATACACAAAATCATATTCCTTGCATTCTCTTTTAACTTCTTGTCCCTGGATTTTCCATCATTGACCATATAAATTAAAACTAACACCCCTTGCAGCACACCCACCCACCCACAGATTGAATCACACCATTTACTAGAAGAAATTACTAAAAGCATGTAACCTTCTCAAATATAGATTTCCATGAAACCTATAACATCCCCTATGCTTTGACGAATTATAAATAATATCTAAACTACAGAAAACCCTTTCCCCTAATTCCGAAAAAAAATGAAACTGTAAAAGGAAACAAAAAAAGAAAAACTTGAAGAAAATTTTCCTCTAGGATGGGTACCCACTTTTCCTAAGAATAGGCCTATAAACTCCCTCTGCTACAATTTTCAGAGAAGGAAATAAAATTCCCCATTCACTTATTCATTTCCCCTAAATATCTCTAGATCAATGAAGATATTATACACAAAAAACTAAAGAAAAATGAAAACAAAAAATTTCACCACCCAATTACATATACGACTGAGCCCTAAAGATTATCCCCTCTTAAAACTTTATCAAATGTACAAAAAATGAAATTGAAAACCTTGACGCAACACATAAAAAATAAAAAAACGAAGAAAAAATTAAATGAATAAGAAAGAAGCTCACCTTATAATTAAGAGTAATTCAAAAGCATAAAGATAAATTTTAAATAAAAAGAAGTAAGAGAGAGAATCAGAAAAGGAAATACCGGGATCGGATTCAATTGTGCACCAAGACATGATGAGAAATTCGAAGCTGAAACATACAAAACAGTAAAATGTTCAAAAAATTTGGCAAAAAACAGCAGAATGTAATAAATAATATATTCCCAAAACTCACCAAGTCTGATAGAGAAAGAAAGAGGAGCTTGTTCCTGGCTTGAGTCTTTCGTCTTCCTCAACCCTAATGGCTAAAGAGCTTGGTAAGGCTACTTCAGCTCTGTGCTTTCTAATCTATCAAATTAATCTCAAAGTATTATTTTTTAAAACTATTTTAGCTCTCAATATTTTATTTTAAAACAAAAATTCTACTAGTTTAAAATGTTAATAATTTATTGATTAATAGTTCCAATTACGTAGAAGTTTTTTATTTGTTCTAAAATGTATAAAAAGAATATGGATCAAAATGGGAAAGTTTTGGAGTGCACGTTGCAAACTAAAACATATACCGATATAGATTACTAATAAAATTATTTTTATTAAATATATGTGAAAAATATAAAGACTAATCTATAGTTAATCCTTTATTATAATTTAATTTAGGATATAATTAAAATATATTTTTTTATTAAAACTTATAATTATTTTAGAAATTTTTATTTGTTAGGATTATAACACTTAATTTATATAAGTTACATATTCATCCCAGCAGCAACCATCAAAATCTATTGACGAGGATCTTCTTCATGGCGGGAAAATTATGTTCTTCAACATATACTATCCTCGGAGAGCTATATCAAGAGTAAACTAATCTTTTTCTTCACCGAACGTCGCCTATCTCGTAGCCATTCTGCAATACTAACCTTGACATTTCCAGCTTCTTTTGACGTGGATAGACGTTGCCTACTCCATGTGTTTTCCATTGTCGGTGATCTGAACCAGTTTAATGAAATGAAAAGGCTTTATGCTCTATACAAGCTGACAGCATTTATTCGTTTCACCAAATGATAGAAAATTAATGTTAAAACCTTTTGCTTTGAATATAATAGAAATTTGAAACTCTAAACACTCAAACCCTCATTTTTCTTTTCAAGTTTTCAGAAAATAATACTAAATTGTCTTATCTTCTCCATGTTTTTTATTCAAGCTTTTTCACTCAATATTTTCAAGATCAGTCTCTTTGTAGTTTTCTAGGCTTGATTCTTTGTGGATTCTGTTAACAAGCATGTAGATTTTTTTTTGTTGTCTTCCTGGTTCCAAGATTTCGCCCTTGTTAATTCGGACAGACCCACCTCGTAAACCTGAGGGATTTTCTGCGTATACAAAGAATATAACTCGAGACATTGCTTAAGCGAACAAACATGTAGATTTTGTTACCCAGTATAAGCAGCATTTTGAGCATGATCTATATCCAGAACGTACAACAACTTTTCCAGTCACTCTTTCTAAACTGATTGAACGAGCGTAGCACTGGAAAAATATATTACAGAGCAATGTACCAGAAATCGCCATCCTCGTCTTCCAGGCTATCCAAATGCAACTTTGTTATTAAACTTCCCTAAATTTGTCAAACGAATGCACCTGATCACTATGTAAAGTTAGATCGATCGTGTTGGAGCTGATATACAAATTGTTAAAAGGCATGAAAGCAGCTTTCATTGCTTGACCCTGATTGGTTCTGATGGTTCATAACGTCGTTCCATTGTCCAGACATCTTTGACTCGTAATGCTAGAAGTTGTTATGTTTTGTTAATGGTCTTACACTACAGCAAAACTGAGTTTTAGCGGTGCTTTTTTAGTCTTATAGCGGCGTTTTTAAGCGCCGCTAAAAGTATTTGCGGCGATAGGAAAAACGCCGCAAGAAGCGCTGGCAATACCAGCGCCGCTAAAGTTAACGTCGTTTGAGAACAAAAAACACCGCAATAGGTCAATATCTATTACGGCGTTTTTTGAACAAACGCCGTAAAAGGTCGACATCTATAGCGGCGTTTTTGGAATAAACGCCGCAAAAAGTTATGATATATAGCGGCGTTTCTAGAAAAAAACGCCGCAAAATGTCAGATCTATAGCGGCGTTTTTGGATACAAACGCCGCAAAAGATAAGACCTATACTGGCGTTTTTAGAACAAACGCCATAAAAGGTCAGACCTATAGTGGCGTTTTTGGACACAAACGCCGCAAAATGTCAGACCTATAGCGGCGTTTTTGGACACAAACGCCACAAAAGGTCAGATATATAGCGGCGTTTTTGGATACAAACGCCGCTAATTACCATTCTTTAGCTAAGATTAATTGATATTTTTCATATTTCATTTTTGTTATACATCACCTAAATTCAATATCATGTAATTTTATATAAATTTTAACAACAAATAAATTAAAATTTATAAACATTAAAATAAATGTAATATGCTTTGATGTTCATTACATCGAAAATATTGAGTTCAAGTCCACATATGGAAAGAAAAATAAATTAGTATGCATATAATATAAGCTACAAATGGCATTTGGCTGGATTCCTGGCCTAAAAGCTATTCCAAATTTTCTTGGAGATTCAACTTCTGTAACTCCTCCCATTTTTCTTTGTCTGCAACCATTTTCAAGGCCATTTTCCGCACTGTTCCTGTGACAAGAAATGCTGCTTTAAGATTGGCACAACCTTCATAGCAAGCTCTACTTTACAAGAAAGGAAACCATCTACATCAATATCATTTATAAGAATTAGATCAATATTCAAATACAGTAAGATGAAACAAATAACTTGTCTCCATAATTGTTCATTTAAACAACATCAACCAGATCACCTTCACCAAAAGTAATATGTGGAAGTTAATAAAAATTTTAAACTAACATAGAAAAGGAATATATGGTTGTACCAAGCAGAAACAAAAACGTGGAAGCCAAGGACCTGCTAGTCTAGTACCACAATAGTGTTACCAACTCATTATACGACAAAATTACACCCAAAATCTCCATACTACTGCATTCACACTTTTACGAGAAGATTTAAAAAACAACCTCCGGGTTAAGATTATTTTCTTATTTTGACATACTGCCTGACCTAGTACCTCTTGGTAAGCCGGCCCTATTGCTAACTGCTAAATGAGCTTGATAGTACTTAGTTGCCAATGGTCTAATCCAGATAAATTGCTCATCAAATGAACAATTAGATTATACAGAACTAAATAAACAAAACCCCAAATGCCACACCCATGTTTTAATAGTAACCAGTTTAAACAAGGAAAAAACGCTAATAGGCATTTGGTAAAATAATATCATAGAGGACGTTGATCATATCATACCATCGCCAGAAGAGAAGCCTTGCACTTTTGCATGATAGTCTCCGACTGAATGCTAGAGATGACATCCCTACACATAAGAAAAGTTGTCAGGGGAAAGAAGTGCCAAGGAGCGGTAAACTGATCTAAAGAACAAAAAAAGTACGGGCATTGGAATTTCCTTTCTAATTTCCCTGCCTAATATAGTTTCTGGATAAACAAAAATGAGGTGGACTAATTAACACTGAAATGGACCTTCTGGTAATGATAGATATGCTAATCAACTATATCATATCACCTGCAGTTCACTCATATCCTCACCGTGATAAGAAATGACAAACAAGTGACAGTACAATTCCAAAATTGATGTGGGTTACAAAAGTTCACTACCAACTAACCTTGTCTTTGTCAAGCCAGCAGAAGAGCCTGAAATAATGAAGAATAATTTCAATTAATAACAATGACAATCAACAGAATTTTACCAAAATGAGAACAAAACAAAGCCAAAGATTTACCTAGTAGAACAAGATGAGAGAAGTTGCGGACATGGACAATTCCCCTCGGTTGAAGAAACATAATCTGTTCAACACTTAAATTTAATTATCGTGAGAATGGTTACCAATATGATAAAAATCCAAACATCTTCTACATAAATTAAAGGTTTAATAGCAACAAATAACGACATCAATAAAAATTCAAGAGAAACCGAACCACTAGCATGGTTATCGAATCATATTCCATTTCAACTGAACTATTTACCTCTTTTCCAACATTTGAAGACACTCTAGATGCTGAAACGCTCTGCCGAATCACCTGCAAGGACTTCCCTAATACCTGTAAAAGAAATGGAAAAAACAATTCAATAAAATCCAAGTGCTTTATCCTTTAGCTGAACAAACCACAATTAAAATAAAAAGAGATTAACAGTTCTAACCGAAGCTGATGAACCTCCGGTCGTAACTTTTCTCCTTAAAGCGCCCAACATCACCGCTGTCCAGAAGCTAAACGCAAAACTCAATAATCTAAAGGAGAAATCAAATAATAATTTAGAACATAATAGATAGTCAGATATAACTACGTGGATCTCAATCTAAACATTGAATACAAATGAAAAGGGCAATAATGAGAGGCGAAGAAAAAATTATATATGGAAGAGAGGTTTAACTTAAACCTGATTTCTGCAGACAAATATGAGAGTCCTCGAATACACTGTGATTTGCCAAAGAAAAAAGAAAATATCTAACAAGTTTTTTTTTGGTTTCTTTCTTCGACAGTGAGGGAGAGAAACAGTGAATATCATGCCAAATACCTCGCGATTAACAACAAAAATGGGGCAATGTTTTTCGATAACTTCATTCCAAACAGTTCTAGACTGAAGACAACTTTGCATTTGCAACCTTTTTTGTAGTGAGAATTTGTTTGAACGAAGCGTTGAGAAGAAGAGCCCCCCATTGGAGAAGAAGCAGCAGATGGATTTGAGTAAACGGCGGGAATGAAAAAATAGGTGAAGGGAAAAAAATGGAAAAGGGCTAAAGGGGTCTTAAAACTGTAAATTTGTGGTACAAACGCCACTAAAGTACGAGTCTTTTACGGCGTTTGTATAAAAACGCCACTAGCGTACGAGTCTTTTGCGGCGTTTTTTTATAAAAACGCCACTAAAGTACAAGTCTATAGCGACGTTTGTAAACAAAAACGCCACTAAAGTACGAGTCTATAGCGGCGTTTTTAAACAAAAATGCCACTAAAGTATGAGTTATAGCAGCGTTTTTATAAAAACAGCAATAAAGTATGAGTTATAGCTGCGCTTTTATAAAAATGCCACTAAAGTACGAGTCTTTAGCGGCGTTTGTATAAAAACGCCCCTAAAGAACGATTCTATGCCGGCGTTTGTGTAAAAACGCCACTACAATACTAATCTTTAGCAGCGTTTTTATACAAACGCCACTAAAGTAAGATCTTTTGCGGCGTTTGTATACAAACGCCTCTAAAGTTAGGTTTTTTGCGGCGTTTGTTCAAAAAACGCCGCTAAAAATGCCGCTATAAACCCATTTTGCTGTAGTGTTATTTTGTTAGTTTGATGTTGTTTTCTGGGCAGGGGGATCTCCATGATCATGAGAGTTTGGTTAAGGCTGATCCGGTTGATGCGATGATATCTGCTGTAGGTGAAATGCAGCTGAAAGATGAAGCTAAGATTATTGGTGTCATTAAAGAAGCTGGGAATGTCAAGATTAGTGTTGCAGGGCGGCTGCAAGCTGGACGACGTTTGGTGAAGAGAAAGACCAGTTTTCTCTTGATATAGCTCTTCGTTGGCAAGGTAGGTTGAAGAAAACTATTTTTCGACGATAAATAAGATCGTCGAGATTGATTTTGATGATTGTTGTTGGGATGAATATGTAACTTATATAAATTAAGTGTTCTAATCCTAAACAAATAAAAATTTCTAAAATAATTAAAATTTTTAATAAAAATATAATTTAATTATATTCACATTAAATTTTAAACTAAATAGTAATAAATGATTAATTATAGATAAGTTATTATATTTTTTCATACTTATTTAATAAAGATAATTTAATTAGTGGTGTGCATCGGTGTGTCACATTAGTGATGCGTTTCGATGCATGACGTGTGCTCTAGACTCATCCAAAATAATGACATTATTGATAGAACAAAAAGATTTTAAACTTTATCTAAAAAAATTAATGTTTAATCTTAAAGATAACATTTTTAAAATTTAGAACGCACGCTAATCAAACTTATTAAATTAATTGATAAAATAAGTCACTAATTAAAAGAATTAAAATACATCTAGGGTAAATACAAGACAGTATATGTTTAAAGACTCTTAACCAATTAACTATAAACGCTTATACTCATGTTGGTGCTCGAACCTATGACATCTAGGGAGAATAACAAGTCCCTTAAAGTTGGTTTATGCTATGTATAATATATATGGTTATAGAAAACTTTTTAAATTAGAATTAAATAGTATCATAATATTATAAATGTCATAACCATTTTTTTTTATAAAATAATTAAATATTATTTTAAAAACGATTGTGACTTTTATTTGAAAAAATTGGTGATTTATGAATTGATTTGGATTAAATTAAAAGGGAGTCGCCATCGATTTTTGGATTAGGTATGTCGAATACAAACGTTTTTTTAAAAACAATTTTAAGAAAAATCGTTTTTAAAGACAAAAATGGTCTGCGTTTACCAAAGATTCGATTTGATGGGTTCGGGAGTAGGTTACGCGTAGGGAAGAATCAGCACCCTACAGCGCCCAAAATTGGTATTGTGTCATTTACACGTTGTCGTAAATGGTAGAAATTATGAATCGAATATAAAGTTAAAATATGATCCGCTTATCAAACATTGATTAATTTTCTTCGATAATTAATTAGAGAAAATTCTTTAACTCGAAAAGAAATCTCGAAATTAACAATCCTCCATCGAGAAAGCTAACTCGACTATTTCTTATCAGTAAAAGAATTTTTCCTCATTGATTAAAAAACCGAATCGAATATAAAATGAAAATTAATCTTTACATAAAATAAATCGCTATTTAGTAACATGCATCGCATTATTCAACTTAAAATAAAAAGAATTTATTAGCAAAATAAAATCAATTTTATTTCAAGTTCACATTTGTTCGAATGTCGTATCAGATTACATCACTTCGATCAAGCGATGTTTTCCACGCCCATTCTACAAATCGTTGTTCTTGATAAAATCCAATTAATATGTTGAAATATATTATCAAACGAAAATGACTCGAAATGTATGAATGTATAAGTGTCAAATATAGTGTACAAGTATGTATGCCTACTTAATGTATACAACAATATATATATATATATATATATATATATATATATATATATATATATATATATATCAATATTTACCCAATATAATATAGTACATAAAATGGACTACTAATATAGTACATAAAATATATTCATCTACCATAATATATGAATATATAGTATAGCATGTAAATGGCCACCATAAAAACATGCAATCCTTAAGGCTAGAATAGAAATAAGGAATATATATATATATAGTAACCAGGAGGACTAAATAGTATTAATAATAAATAGAGAGACTAAACCATAACACTAATGATAATAGAAGCAACCATCGAAAATATTAAGCAATAAAGGTACCAAGAGTGAAAATATGCCATAAATAAAGTTTAAGACTAAAATGCAAATTATCAACAATATGAACATGATTCGAAAAGTCACAAAAACATGAACTGGAAGAGATTCATGACCAAAATGAAATACAAGTAAAATCAGATACTTAAAATAAAAACATATTCATTTCATGATCTAAATAAGAATCATGCAAATTACAAGGATTGTGTGAGCGAATATCCTTTTTCAAACTAAAACGCAACACCTTCCCCTCATCTCGGCTTTTGAATGGCGTCGTTTCATTAAAACCCAAAATAAGGTTTTCCTTATCTCCATTTAACCCTTTTATTCGCCCCTCTCAGCCGCATCTATCAAGGAAAGAAAGAGTCAAAAAGCTCTCTTAGGGAAAACTCCCTCATCGCTTACTCCAGTCAGCCACTACCATCATCACCGACAATGTGGAGTCCTCCAAAGCTCCTCTCGATAATGGCAGAATTTTATTCCTCAGATGGAGAAATATAGGTCTTCCAAACGGTAAGTTGATTTTCTGTTGGGGTTTTCTCTAGGTCTTTCTCCCTTCTCTCCCTCGAACACACTTTCTTTTTCCTTCTTTTTTTTTGTTTTTCTCTCATATTTTTCCTCTTCGAATCCCCTTTGTCCTCCTTGTTTTTTATTTCCCCGAATGTTTCTCTCAATCTTCCCTTTTTTCGTTTTCCCCCTTTCTTTCTAATTTTCTTATGATCCCTCCCTAGTTTTGAATCCTCCTATTTTTTTTGTTGATGGTTTATTTATGGTTTGATTTGGGTAGGTTGAATGATGATCTCTCGGGGTAGGATTATGGGCTTCTGAATATTGCTGATGAAATCCCCATTTTTTGGGATTTAATATATTTTTTAGTGGGTTTTGATTTGGTTCACTGTTTCTCTGACTTGGTAATTGTTTGATGCAAGTCTGGTTACTGTTCGGCTGGATTACTGACGAAGAAAAATCAGGATGCTTTTGGTGGTGGCTCACGTGCCGATTAGGGAACTGACAAGGCGGCGCGTGCATCACATGCGCCTGGGTGGATGCTGGAAGGCCAAGCGGTGGTGGTTGGATACCTTATCCTCTGATTTAGGATTAAAGTTTAGTTGGGCCTTGGGTCGGATCCGGGTCGGTTTGATAAGCTGGGTCTGGTGCTTGGATCTTGTAATTGGGTTGGCCTCCTGGGTTGCTGGTGTTGTATTTGGGCTTGGGGATTGGGCATGTAACAAAAAATTACAATGTAATTAGATATTGTATTAATAATAATATAATAATAATAATAATAATAATAAAATTAAATAGAAAAGACCCGAACAAAAATGGGGGTCTACAGCTGCCTCTCTTTGCACATTATTGTGTTAACAAGAATAGGGCACAAGAATAGGGCAAAGACGACAAGACAACACATTTTTGTCTGGTTCTCCCATTCTTTTGCTTAGAAATTGGATAAAGTTTGTTGTTGGGGACGATACTGCTCATATCCGATGAAGAGGTCTAATAGTCTAAGGGTGACACGGCTCCTATGTGATAAGGAGATCTGGTCAGGGGATGACACGGCTCATACGTGATGAAGAGTTCTGGCCATCTTTATTGATAAGGTAGATAACATGGTTCCTACATGATGAGGACACTGGTTATCTAAGGGTGACACGTCTCCTACGTGATGAGGAGGTTTGGTCGGGAGATGACACGGCTCAAACTTGATGAAAAGTTCTGGTCATCTTTAGGAAGGGTGATAACTTGATTCCTACGCGATGAGGACGGCTGGTTATCTAAGGGTGACACGGCTCCTACGTGATGAGGAGATTTGGTCTGAGGATGACACGGCTCATACGTGATGAAGAGTTCTGGCTATCTTTATTGATAATGTAGATAACACGGTTCCTACGTGATGAGGACGACTGGTTATCTAAGAGTGACATGGCTCCTACATGATGAGGAGGTCTGGTCGAGGGATGACACAGCTCATACGTGATGAAGAGTTCTAGCCATCTTTAAGAAGGGTGATAACTCAGTTCATACGTGATGATGACGGCTGGTTATC